TGGCCTATCCACATTTAATGGCGCAGTCAAAAATCAGAAGCCAGGTGTTCTGAATTCCAGTTCAGTAAACTTCAATAAGTATTGTTGCTTTTTCTGTAGAGAATCTGAAATACAGGGACATTACCTGCTCGTAGGCACCATGACGAGGAAAAACAAGACTGAGAACTGCCTTTGTGCCCACTACCCTCCATTTCCTTTGGCCAGAAATTCTTAGGGGCTGCAATCCGCTGGGGGTAAGATTAGCCAGGACCTCAAACCCCCAGCATTCCTAAGGCTGCTAACCACGCCCACGGTCTAAAGTATCTGTGCTCTCTGTGGAAAGTACTGCACATTCCCAGCCTCCACAGATGCTGTCATATCCAGCTGGGTTATGAACAAACATGCTGCTTTTTTCTTTTGTTAATGGCTTTTCTCTACCCACACTGGCAGTTAGGGAACAACAGCTTCCATGGGATATTGATGTGGGAAGAACGGTTACAGAGAATAGTTACAGATGATGGGGGTCAGTGGGTGCTCTGAACTCTCTTCCTGGCTCTTCCCAAAACATCAAATGGCCATGGCCTTCAATACATTACTTTTAAAAAAGTGCAGGCTCTGTCCAGATTGACAGTTTTACACAAAGGATGCCCCCATGCTTCCCTCCAGTGCAGTAACATTGATTTGTAAAAATTTTTTGAAATCTTTAGCTTAAATGGATATGAATACATGGTATATGTTCACTATAACTCAGGTCCACAAATATCTTACCTAAAACTCTCCAGGGGGATATGTGGTTCCCCTTATATTAGTATCTTAGAGATGTCAATGACAAAACTTATAGCTTGTATAAGTAATTAGGTTAGGAACTGGATGAACGGTGTATTAATTTAATAGTGAAAAGAAAACCATTCACACAAGATCACTCTCTGTAAAGGTGGTAGGAGTACAAAACCAAGGTTGTCTTATTTAAGGGTAGGAGAGAAAAAAGTAGGTAGCAACTGAACTGGACTGGAGGTGGCAAAGCTGAATAGCTGAGCTGGTACTCCAGAGTCAGAGATTCTGACCTGTATAAAGAATCAAACTGAATGCACAAAGAGCAAGTGCCCAAACATGCACCATATTAATGACCATTGAAGCCAAAGAATTTTCCAAGGTCTGCCTCAGCACTGCCAAGGATCTTAGAACAGCTCCTCCATGTTTCCATGAGGGAGACAGCTGACAGGAACCAGTTAAGTACGGAGGCAAATTCTCCTTTGTGCTCCCCTCTGAGCACTGCACTTTTAAAATTCCCTAGAGTCTCTATCTGGCATAAATTAGGGTGTTATAGCCAAGTTCCTAAATTCACCAATCCCCAAGTCACACATCTATTCTGTACAGGTCTATGGAACCTATACCGCAGTCTCCCAGGAGCACAAATGGAATATAAAGCAGTTGGCTATTGCCAAAGGGGACTTGTCTATTTCCTCTCAAATAAGAGAGATTTATTCTCAATAAGGTGGAGGAGACTCTTCTAGATACACCATTTAGACTCCAATACTTTTCCTGCTCACTGATTATTCAGTGACTGTATTCTCTCAGAACTAAATAATGATGACAATAATCACTCTATGAGGTAGCTTTTTAAATGTGCTGTTTTCTCTCTTAACCCTCAACTCCCTCAGAAGCTGGGGCTGTTCCTCTTTTCAACTTCATGAAGAGGGAATTCGGGAAATAGGCTTGGCTCTATATAACAACAACAGAAAAAACACTGAAGTTCAGAGAGGGAAGCAAGTAGTCTCTCATTCTTTTGGGACACAAAGAAACCCTGGATTCGTACCCACTGGTACGAAAGGGCTGGAAGCCCTTTCACAACAGGCATGAACTCATTAAGTGCCCAGCTGAGCACTAAGTCAGACTTGAGGGGAAGATCCAGGAAAGCCTTGGCAAGATCCTTTGTGATGGCTTTGTCATCAATAAGCAGGATTCTGTTACCCACATTCAGTAAGCTCAGGCTAATAATTTGATTCTAGATAAGTCTCTTTCGGAATGGGTCTTCTAACAAGGTAAAGAAACAAATCCTAACCTAGCACTGGTGACTGGATTCAAAACCATGTAACATTTTCAAGTACCAGGTCTTCATGGAGAAAGTACAACAGGGGGAGAAAATGTCAGCCTTCCCAATATGGCAGCATGTTTAGAAGGAACCACCATCACGTACATGATGATTTGCAAAAAAGCTTTTCAGAAAAATGTGGTCAGCAGTATTCATTAGCCCTTCACTCCTGCAGGTTTAACAATTTGGTTAGTTCTTCCTCTTCCTTCTACTTGAGGCTACTGGCTGCTTAGCTATTAAGGCCAGAGTCTAAGCAGGGGCTGTCACAAGACTAAGCCTCTCCTCTCCCCTGCTATGTTTTTTCCTTCTAAGTCTCTCCCTCAGAGTTCCACTTCCTGTATGGTACAGTAAGTGCCTACTGATGCAATCTTCCAGTAGATAACAATAATAAACTCTCAATAAAATATAAAAAACTACCTGAAGGTACTGGAGATAACAAAAAAGCAGGAAAATTCTGGATGGAGGTTGAAACTTGAAAGAAAGGAATGGTACAAGGTGGGTTTACCATTTTTGTGGTTTTTAGGTGGATAGAAAACTACAGTCTTTCTGGTCGAAGATTTAGAGGAAACCACAGAATCGGGGAAGCCACAGCTGCTGGAAAGTGAGGAGGAAAATCTCAGAAGAAAGGGAGCCAAAGAAGTGC